TATTTATTTTATTTTTATTTTTATATCTTATCCATCTTATCTTAATATCTTACCTTCTCCTCTTTTCAATTTTTATATAAATACCTCTCTTATTCCACTTTTTCACTTTTAATTTTTAATACTTACACTTTATCTTATTCTTATTCCTTTTCAAAAACTCTTATATTCTTATTTCTTATTTTATTTTTCTTTTCTCATATTTCTATCCATCTGGATATTATCTCGTATAAAAGAATATTTTGGAACAATGACAAAAGAACTATTATTTTACAATTTTAATGCAATCCTGATCTTTACGATCTATGGAGTAACCATTAATAACACTGATATCCAAGATCAATACTTTATATTTGCTGATGAATTATTTCAAAACTCTGATATAATTAATAGATTTCTGATTGATAATCCAGAACTTTTTGAACCACCCATTGGAAAAGTCAAAGAACCAGTAATCAATCTCACCACTCTCTTAGAAGAACTATCTTGATAAATTTATATTTATACTTAATCCTATATTTGATAAGATTAAATTAAAAGATCTAATTAACCTGGAAAAACTATTTGGATCACTTATAATAACTGATGAATTAATGATTAATGACAATAGAGAAGAATCTTCCACTATGTCAACTCAAAAAGAAAAAGATCTCACTGAAGAAATATCTCAAAAGAAATCTAAAGAGAGATCTTTTGACTCTGAAATTTGGAAAAATCAACTTGAAAAATTACTCAAATGAGTATATATTAAAAAATTAAAGAATATAGAAAGAATAATTATTTATTATAATTGAAAAATTAATCAACAAACCTTCAAAGAAATACAAACTTCAACAATACAAATTGAAAGGTAAACTTAGTGAATCTCTTAGAATACATATTGGAGAAAAATCTTTTACAATTGCTCAAAATGCCTATAAAATATTTAATAATAAAAACTAGATTCAATAACAAAAGAATTCTTTGAATATTACTCAAATTCAACAAATGAAGAATAATGAAATTAAAGAATTCTGAAAGAATTTTTAAAATTTTGTAAAACAAAATCTTTGAAGATGGATCAAATATTACAATTATTTTCAATAATTTTATAATTAATAAATCTTTCAAAAATAGTAGAAAATATAAAAATCTTTAAAAATAGTAACAAAACAACAAATTGATAAAAATAGTATATACATATTAATTATCTAATAATTGCATAATTATTATTATTATTTATCTTTTTATCTTTATTTTCTACTCTTTTTACTCTTTCTATCTTTATTTTCTATTTTTTCTACCTTTTATATCTTTATTTTTTACCTTTTTTATCTTTATTATTTATCTTTTCTACCTTTTCTACCTTCATTATTTACTTTTTTATCTTTATTATTTATCTTTTCTACCTTTACTATCTTTACTTTCTACCTTTTCTATTTATCTTTTTTACCTTTTATATATATCTTTTTATAATTTTATAACAAAAATAGAACTAAAATGTATTGACAAATTTTGTATCCTCTTTTTATCTTTGATAGAATTATTTAACAATTTCTATCAAAATTGGCATAGATTTAGATACTTATTTTTGCATTGATCAATTTTATTAGTCTATTCCTCTCCCCCAACTCATATGATTCTTTTACTAATAGTAAAGAAACTCTTCATTTAAAATAACCGTAGCATTAAACTGAAGTAATTTTTTTAGTATAACTAATTATTCTTATAATCTTTCTTGTAGACTATCTTATTTTCTTTGATATTTTTATTTAGTATTCTAGAAAAATCTTGATAAGTTGGATAATTATAATATTAATTTTAATAATAATGAGATTATCTAGAATATTGTAAGAAATAATATGTAATACTAATACAAGTAGTTTAACTTTGATTTTCTTCTTATCTTTGAGTTTACTTATTATTGAATTTTAATTAATAATAGATTCATTATATTACTCAATAGTTTAATTTATATTATCTTGTATATTATCTTTTCATTTTAATCTTATTTATTTGTATTTTTCTATTATATAATTATATATTATTAAGAGTGATAATATTGATATATTAGGAATATTAGCTTGAGATATTTAAGCTATCTATAAAATATTTGAATCTATAAGAGTAATATATTAGTATTAATTAAATTATTATTATTTGTAACTAAGACTAGACTTGAAATTGTTTTATTTAATATAAAGAAGTTATTACTTTCAAAGATTGAATTTGTATTATAAGTTAGTTATTAATTTAATACTTATTTATTTAGTAATTTTTATCATTAAAAAATTTATATAGTAACATTATATATAATCAATTTGATTATATCAGTAACAAGTTATTTAATTTTATAATTATGACTCTGATTATATATTTATGATGAATAATTTATCTTTTTAATAATCTCTACTTGTTCTAATCTGTTGGTTAAACTCTAAAGAAACTGATTTAGAATATTAAGATTAACAGTAGGCATTGTCTAAATCTGATAAAAAGTTCTCATTGTTTTATTAATACTGGTCTTTTTGATAATTTTGATCATTTTAATGATATAATTTCACATTTTGTCTGCATTTATATGAATTCACTTTTTAATATCTGATTTGAGTTCTCTTTTGTAGATATGAGTCTTGTAATCTGCTGGATAATGTTCATTAGAATTAATTTTCTTTATAAGTTGAATGAACTAATTAGTATATTCTTTCACAATTTCATTTTACTTAGAATTTCTAGTTCCTTTTGTTATTACTTTACTTTTTTGTTCATTTATAACTTTAAAATAAATCAGTATTTAAAATTATATTTACTATTTTGTTGATTTATTCAATTATTTAATTGAAGATTATTATCAGTATTTTTATAATCAAATTATGCAATAGTAGTTTCTTTAAAATATTCTCTTATAATTTGAATTTTTTTCTTTTATTGATGATTTTATTAGCTCAGACAGCAATTTTGAAATTCTGAAATCACTTGACTGGATCTTGATTTTTGTTTCAGTACTTCTTAATTGAAATAATTTGTCCAAGTTCTGATCAAACTCACTAATATCATGAACATTGAATTGGCTCAATGTTTAGAAAAGATTCTTCATTTATATATTCTACTATTTTATTATTTTCTTCATTTTCTAGTTCTTGATTTTTAATTTCGTCTACTTCAGGACTTTTTTATGGAATACAATTCGCTTGTAGCTATCTTCATTACTGGTTTTCGTGTTTGATTCCATTTTATGAGTGGTTTATTGAAATGGGGTATGGTTAAGAAGATAGTGGTTTGCAGTGCTATAGATTTAAAATTCCACAGAGAGAGCACCAAGAATGTCACAGATGGATCGTGATTATGTATAATCGATGATTTTACTATAAGAATGAATTGGAGAGTAATTAGACTATAGTAATGTTTGTTTCTAATTTCTACATCAATATTTACAGATATTATTCAGTATGGTAGAGAGGGAAATTTAGATGGAGGTAAGGTAGTTTTGGATTTATATGACAGTTATCATAATATTCTTTTTATTAACTTCCAATCATTGCTTTTTCTAGCTAACTGCTAACTGTACTGTTTATTCACAAAGCACTTTTTCAATCAATCAATTAATATGTCGTTTAACAATGTTAACATCTTTTCTGAAATAAAGGACCTAATCACAATCAATTACAACAATTTTACAAGTCTAATTTACTTGGAGAAGAATTGTACGCAATTTAATTCTGTGTCTTTATTAACATCTACGAGGACTATATATACATTTTTTTGATTAGATTATGAAGTATTCCTTCGGAACTTGTTGCATAATGCACTTTATTATTTAAGATAGAAAAAGAAATAGAAAACAAGAGCGAGATCAAAAGCGAAAATAAAAGCGAAATCAAAAGCGAAGTTAAGATAGAAAACAAAAGCGAAATTAATATGGAAAACAAAAGCGAAATAAAAATAGAATTTCAAAGCGAAATTAAACCAACGAAATCGGGTTAGGCGGATTTACCAAAATTGAGAGATTAGCGAAATTATTCTTAACCCGGTAACAATGATTTGCGATTCGGGTCGGAATTCAGATCGGAATTTTGGTTTGGAAAAATCCGATTAGTTCGGATAGTTCGGAATCACATGACCTGTAACTTTTTCGCCATGGCTAGGGTACTTTATCATTTCTTATAATGTACATGTACTTTAAAGTGTATCTTTAATTTATTTATGTAAAACGGATTCAGCCTAAAGATGGTTACTTAAACAATCGGTGATCAAGTAAGTTCTGTGAAGAATTAAATTAGGGCAAGTTTACAGTGACTCTCAAAATTATGGAATCACGAAAAGTTTCATGAAAAAATTTCCTAGAGAATTTCCAATAAACTTATAAAAAAATATGCCGTTTTAGGAAAATTAAGTGATATACACAGAATTTTTAATTTAACGCTGAATATTTTTTTCCAAAGGCAAATTCTGGAAGTTCCATCAGTGTGAGTGTTGTCTATAAAAACTATAGACATACCAATTTTCAGCTAAATCATGAGTTCTCGAACATTGAAATTTCAATTAATTAGTAATTAGTTCAACTATTTTTTTTTTAATGTTGAAATTCGGAACCTCATATCACCAACGCGTTTTTATAGAGAGCACTTTTTATTAATGGGATTTTTTCGGAATTTGCCTTGGGAAAGAAATATTCAGCGTTAAACTTTACTAATTAAAAAATTCTGTGTATATCGATATCACTTAATTTTCCTAAAATGGCAGTCATATTTTTTTTACAAGTTTATTGGAAATTTTCTAGGTTATTAGCTTATTGGATGCTAGATTTTTTTATGATTCCATAATTTTGAGAGACGTATATACAGTATTCACAATACGTTGCGCTCACGAATAAATTACATTTTTTTATGACCATTTAGGCAGATTTACCGAAGAAAAATTCGTTTGATATAATGAGAGTCTTTGGCATCAGTGTAATTTACTCACTTTAGCACGATAAAAAATTTAAATTTTACTTTCAAACCAATCAAGTTATTTTATTCATTTCACATGTATAGTAATAGCTATTTAAATAATAATTGAACATATAAAGCTACTATCTGCTTTTCTTTCAACATAACGCTTGAGTTATTTAGGACAAACGTCGCCCGAAACCCAAACCCAATTTCCATTGACGAAACAACATTTCGCGTTGTTAGTGCCAAAATTAGCATTTTGATTTATAGAGCAGCCACCAGACTGGTCTGCGTAATTGTAAGGAGGATAATACCCGTAATACCCGTATCCGTATCCTGGTGATGCGTCAGATGAAATGAGGAGGATTGCTAGAATCGAAGCGACCAAGAGAAGTTGTTTAAATGTAGTCATTATTCGAGTTGCTTGTTGATTTCGAATTTTTGTTTGTTACTTCGAATGAAGATTTAGAGAGAGAGCGAGTATTTCTTTTTATAAGAAAAATTTTGTCAGAGCCATTTGTTTTGAATATACTAAACATATACCAAGACATACACTTGTAATAAAAACATGTTACACGTACATGTATATAGAAGCAAGTAACGACAATGAAAATACTAATAACAACACGATGGCGACAATGAAAATACTAAAAACTAAATACCAGAAGCAATACAACGATAACGCGAATGACGATAATGAAAATACTAAGTTTAGAAATATTTCGATATGAATGAACATTACCTTTTTGTTCTTGTGTCATGAACATCCCATCAATATTAATGCACGTAATAATAGTGATTATCAAGAGGATGAAAATTACAAAAAAGGCTCTTATTTAGAAATTCAGGGGAATTTTGCTGAAACTAATGGTAGTAATAGAAAATCCTTCACAGCCACTTCTTACCAAATCTGAACAATTGAAAGATATCGAACGATTATTGCCTGGTCGTTTTAAAAGAAACCATCAATTTAAAATACTAATCTTAGCGTTAGAATTAGCGTAAGATTAGCGTAGTAATTCAAAATTGTATATAGAAGCGTTCTTGAGTCTCACTACTTGTGAATACACTATTATTTTATTTCTTTGGTCAAACTTCAAACCTTGTGAGTAATTGCAAGCAGTGGATGCGCCTCCACTCTAAATAAGCTGTCGATTTCTTTTGAATTGTTATTTGGATTTGATTTTGTTTTCTTGAATAGGTCGTATCAATAAGTCCTGTTGAATTAATTTTGTTTTCAATCACCCCCTTATTGTTGAGAAAAGGTCGATTTGCGTACAAGTCGCCACGGGAAGCCTTTAGAACACCTAAAGAAACCCTTTGACCGCAAATAATTCAGTCTAGCTCATTATCACGTTGCGAGAATCCCTTAAGATCGACGCATTTAGTTGATTTGTAGTTTAATGAGTGATGTTTTTTTACAACACCAATACGTTTTAAACTTCGTTGATCACATTCTGATGAAATTTTTGGTCGTCCAGTACGTTTTACAGGATGTGGAGAACTTGTTCTCCTAAATCGATTAATTTTATCACGTACTGTTTGCTTTGGAATAGTGAGGATAGAGGCAATAGCTGAAGCATTGCTTTCCATATGATATCGATATGCATCAATTATTTGTTCACGGATAATTCTTTTCGTGGTAAGAACATTATGAATATGAAGAAGAGTGAATAATGTTTTACATGTATATACAAATAAAAGATTGAAACAATGTAAAAATAAAACATTACTCGATAAAGAATAACGATAATGCATGGTGATTTATCATAGGTCAGTGTGCGTGTACGTACATCTTTGAATGAATTCGAGCAATACATGTACTGCACCATTCCGAAATTAAACACACCCCGAAATTAAGCTCCCCCGCTTTTTGTATAAAAATGATGATTAAATATTTAAAAAGTGCCCGAAATTAAGCACCCTTGTAGTAAAAAGGGGTGCTTAATTTCGGAATGGTACAGTACATGTACATGTATATCGATATAAGCATGCATGTGTTTTAGTTAGAATAATATTTTCTAAACATTGAGTTTTTTACACAGTATCAATGATAGGAGATATGTTTCTTGAAGAAAAATTCAATAGAAAATTCGTAAATTTCACCACCAAAAAGAAACTTGAACATTGCTTACATTTTGCTAATGGTCAACGAATAATTTACGTAATATTAACTCAGTTACTGGAACGCTTGAAGCTTACATACATCATGATCGATCTCGTGGCAACGTAATCGGTTTTCAGACACCGTTCTTTTGTATGGTTGTTAAATAATTTATTGGAGGATTTTGAATTTGGGGGGACACATTTTTTTAAAAAAACGCGAAATTATGTTAAACACCAGCAAAAATCGTTGCGTTGCACATTCCACCTACAAAATAGTACAAAAGAAAACACCTACAAAACAGTACAAAAGAAAACTCAGTAATAAATACATGGCTTTATAAATACCATCTAGAAACCATTGTAGAACAATATTCTAAAATAAAGCTTTTCAAAAATTGTGAACAAGCTCAAGACTGCTCTGAAACAGGTGTAGTCAAAATCAATGTGTTAGTTTGGGGAAAGGTTGTGAGCTCGATGCCGTAAGGCAGGGTTGGCACTTCGGCCAATTTTAAAAAATATTTGGCCAAATCAGCAACCAAAATTTCCAAAAACGTACTAAGAAAATATGTATTGAAATTAGTATTTAAACTTTGATAAATATTGAATTATTTTTGAAACATTGATACAATTAACTCGTTAAACTAACTATATTTAATGAAAGTCAACTATGTATTTTAATTAAATATATATAAATAAAATATGTGACTGTTAACCTATAATCAACTCTTGTTAACTCAAAGAAAAATATGGTCGGTTTAACAAAAGTTGACTGTAAGTATAAAAAATGTTTTCTTATTGACAACTTTAAATAATTTTAGAAAAAAATTTCTTCGAGTACTGACTTGTTAAGCATTCTACATTCAAATTTCTGCAAAAAATGTGTCAAAATTTATAATTTTACGGGTCCTTACTGCTGGACGATGTGAAACTTTTCAACCATACACGACATTTGTCACAGCATACTCATGTAGTTTAGATGGTACATGTACACTGTCAAAGGATTTAAAAAGTTATTACATGTACAAAAATCTTGATGAAAAATAAAAATAAAATAATAAAAACGAGTTTTTGTTTAGCTCAATTTCTTTTATTAAAGATTAGCTACATATTAAATACCCGAAACTAAATATCCAAATTGGATTTTCCACAAATAGAAGATTTCAACATTTAGGGCGAAATCTGTCATATAAAAAATAGAAGAGGAAAGAACCTGATCTGACAAATACCTCTATGAGTCAATCCTTACCAGATTTATGTTTCGGTTGGGGTAAAAAAAACAACACCGGCTTTTTTAGTTGAATACTAAAATGCGAATAAAAAACCGACTATAATTGTGATATCTGTTAGGAGTATAAATAGTGTTTGAGGATTTTAACAAACAAACTTTTTCTTGTTCTGCTACTATTGCCTGTTACTCTACATGTACAACGATGATGGAAATCGCTGGCTTGCAAGAAAATTCATGCAGTTTTTTAGGGACAATGAACATCACTTATCAATACGTCTATTACACTAATACTTTTATAGCTACGTATTACATGTATAAAGCGGCGACGGCGTAACAAAAATAACAGAAACGCTACATTTAAAATGATCATTATTACGATAATACATGGCATTATGACGAGGGAAAGGGAATTCAATAAAGGGAGAGCAAGGAGAAATTAAATTTCAGAGCAATCAATGGAACTTTATTTAACAGCGAAACATATTCTTGAAATAAGACATTATTGTGTTTGGAAATAAAATAACGTTTTCTACAAGAATAGAAGAAAAAAGGGGGGTTGATGATGTCAATCATATACGTATCTGGGAATATTAATGTTAACGTTAAATTTTATCACTTCCCTGCATCGTGTTACCTAGTCCGCAGAATTAAAAAAAAAAACAGATACATGTAGTGGAATTTACATGTAATTGCCATAATAATAATTATTCATCCTCCGTTACAAATGTCTATTTTTGGACATTTGTTTGTTTATAGAGTATCAAAAAATTATGGTAATGATTTTATATCTGATAAAAAATTGGGGGGGGGGGGGGTCTTCTTTGACTAAATCAATTGGCATATACGTAAACATAACGATACATCTACACTATGCTGATTTTGTGTAACATACTGTTTACTGATGCCATTACGTATTTTTAGTTAATATTAATATTAAATGTAAAACAGATATATTATCAATCTTTCTAGAATGGTAAAACAATAGTTTTTTCTCTTTCCTCTAAATTTTCATTATTGAATTTTCGTAAAAATATGGGAGCATCATTATGTAAATGTAGTAGTAAGGATAAAGAAAGTTTCAACAATGAAAAGAAATCAAAAGCAAATTGGAAAAAAAGATTATCAAAGATAACAAAGACAGTAAAGACAAAGGCAGCAACAGCAACAACAACGACAACAAATACAAATATAACAACAAATACAACAAACACAATAACAATTACGACGGCATCAACTTCAGTATCAGATTCAAATATTTCATTAGTAGCGATAGGGACAGCAGCAACGACAACAGGAATACTAGCCGACTCACGATATCGTCCAATTCAGCCAGATAAATATCGAATTATAAATGGACGAAGATATCATAACCATACAAATGTTAAATATATTATTCCATGCGATGATATGGAAGTGGATCGATTACAAAATACTCATTTTCTATTAAAACATATCTGGAAATCGAATTTCTTTGCACCAATTGAACAATTGCTCGACTCTTGTATAAATGGAAAAGGTGCTTACGTCTTGGATATAGGGTTAGTGAATTTCACCGCGTACTATTAAATAAATTTGTATTGAAATTTTCTTTCCGATTAGTTGCGGTCCGGGAACTTGGATACTTGAAATGGCTAGTGAATATCCAGATGCTGAATTTATTGGAATAGATATTTCACCAGTCTATCCATCAGAAGTCAAACCACCAAAAGCAACTTTTTACGAATACAATGTGTTGAAACGACTGCCAACTATACCCGATAATACTGCTGATTATGTGCATATGAGATCAATGAATGCCGCATTCACCGAAATAGAATGGACAGAAGTTGTTCTACCCGAGTTAATACGCGTCTTAAAGCCAGGAGGATGGATCGAGCTCTGCGAGCTTGATATGCAATTTTGTAATCCTGGGCCATCCGGAAAAAGATTATCTGATGCAGGTACAATTTTATTTCTTTAATGTTTTTTGTTATGCAAATTAAAGAGTCGTTGCCTTTTGTTTCCTTATTTTGAATCTTTCATTTACTTTTTCTCCTCCTTTCCACATGATGCAGCTATTGCATTTTTTGCGACAATTGATATCAATGGACTTATTGCTGCAAAACTTTCAAGTTTTCTTTCGGAAACACATCAACTAAGAAAGATAAAACAAGAGGAAAGATCTTCTCCGTGTGGCAAATGGGGAGGAACTGTCGGTCAACTGGTCAGTCAATCATTGCAAGTGACTTGGAAAAGTGCATTGAACTTTTTCCATTTCCAGTTAGAATTTTTTATTGATATGCAGATTGATTTTTCTTTACCTAACGAACGATAATACGTACGTATGCAGGTTGCTAAAGATAATATTGATGCATACATTGGCTTGAAAACATACCTGTCAGATTTTATGGGTGTAACACACGAGGAGTACGACAGAATAATCGAAAGTTTTGCTGAGGAAATGAACAATTATCAAACTTCCCATAAAACATACAGGTATTCATTAAAGACTATTTTTTTGTTTTTCCGATAGAAAGAGAGCGCGCGTTAATTATTTAATTGTCAAACAGAGTCTATGCTCAAAAAGTTTGGCCTAATATGACAATTACAACGACGACGACGACGACGATAGCCACGTCATAAACAGAAACAAAAAAAAGCATCATCTTCCAAATATCAAAAACATTTTCTCATTTCAAAAGCACACAAAAATATAGTGTACCCTTTGTTTTAGTATTCCAATATTAATTTAATTTATGTTTGTCACAAAATTATTATTATATTTAATCTTGTATTATTTAGTTTTTCACCCAAAAAAGTACATACTATATACACCTTCATAATTAATAATTTTAATAGTTGAGAATGGTAATGACACTCCTCAAAAAAGTAATTTGAATTATAATGCAATATACAATTGACTTGTTAAGTCAGAGGCAACTGAAGAAGATATCGATATCTTATTTTTTTCAAATAAATCCGGTTACCGATATACGTACCACGAAAAATTAATTACATGTAGTAAATAAAAAATTTATGATAGTGAACACTCAACTGACAGCAATGAAAAAAAGAAATGTTTTTCCAATTACTTCTGATTTTCCCACTAAACCAGATCCAGACATTAAAACGAATTTTAAAGGGACTTTATCGGAGGGTCATTACATGTATAACGATAACTGGATATACATGTAGTTGTATCTACCATATAAGACACTTGCAATGACATAACAACGATAAAAATAAATGCTCTCTCTTTTTGAATAACATTCATTGTTCATGTTCAATAACGATAAGCCACAACATGTACGTATCGGTATTGTTATCATTGTGGATATTGATCATATGTAAGTGTAAATATGTTAAAGAATAAAAATAGGACAAATGAATATCAATAAGGGCGTACATGGTTTAGTGGTATAATTACCGCCTGCCACGCGGTAGACCTGGGTTCGATTCCCAGTGTACGCAGTTAATGATCGAGATTTTTACACATGATGCTTTATTGGTGTAGAGGCTTGGACTGAGCGATTTGTTATGTAAAGAAAAAACAAATTCAAATCTGCTCATATGCCCGAATAAAAAATAATATTCTTTAACCATCCTACAGTGATAAAAATTGCTTGCTTTTTGTAGATGATTTAATACAGCCATACCTCTCTATAATCACCTCCTCAATAAACGCATCATATAAAAACCTCTTATAAGCACACCTACACATGAGACTATTTATAGAAAAATGCCTCTGTATCTGTATAAGCACGTCTCTTTATAAGCACATTTTTTAAACTACGTATGTGATTGTTATTGGATTTATGTATCATAAGCATACATAAGCGATAAATATTTTTCGGAGCTTCCACCGATTGTTATATTATCCCAATAAATTAAACATGTGAATTTATATTCTATCGATATGGTCTAACGTTATTAATATAAACTGCCGTGAATAAGCACCACCCTATTTCGATCCAAAATAATAAAACAATGAACAACAGTGAATACGTAAGCACCACTAAATTTAAATTACAAAAAATCGCTTTAAATGACATTGTGAGGAAATGTCCAGAAACAAGTACCGCCCCGTTTTTAGCATCCAAAAAGTGGTGCTTATTCACAGCAGTCTACGGTAGTAGTTTTTCTGTTTTTATAATACAAGTAATCGCAGTATTTTCCAATTTGATTATGATATATTATTTCAGGAAATACTTTACTGGAGAACACAGCTTCGATAGCTCGTTAGCAATAACTTGATAAACATACTTGGCAAGATGCATTTGTAAATCGTGTTGTTTTTCTGTGTATGTATATAATAAACATTATTTCATATACACAATGTAAACGAGATGTGTCTTTCATCAGACGATTCAGTCAATGTTAAGCAAGATCACCTATCGGATATAATGAAAATAGGAGTTTTACAAACTAGTTACGCTTCTTTCAACAAATCAGCTGAAAAATAGATTATATGCTTCATTTTATATGAAGTGTCAACTAGAGCTCACATTAGGAACCAAGTCATATTATAAGTTTACCAGAAGATGCGCGTTTTTCTTCGAAACGAATGATAAAATAAATTTTTGTGCATCGCAAAAAATTCTTTTGAACATTGTGCAAGCTTAATGATGCTAAAGAAAGCTGTAGCAATTTTCACGAAACAATTAACAAGTTTTACAATCGTATGTCAATGATATTAATATTTTTGATAATTACATGTAATTGGATGTAAATTTATCTGGTTCTGATATAGTAACTTTTAGTTCTTATAATTATAACCAATAATTGAATAAAAAAATCGATACTTTCTAATTACGGAATTTAATTAATTATTTAGATACGTAATCGGTTTTCTCTTGTATATTTTCCTAATGTTGAACAATATCTATATACACTCGGTGGGCAAAAGTCATCGGACACTTTTCGTGAGACAATCGTGCAGAAATTAATGAAAAAACGAGTTGATGTTTCTAAATACATGTACATAAATTTGAAATGATCTGTAGTATGTTACGTATACTAAACTTTCAAATTTTTATAATCGCTCTTCAAAAAGGTGTGGTGGAATGTATGAAATATTATATTCAAATATTTTTTCTGTACAAAAGTATTATCACTATATCTTTATTAATTATAATTTAAAAAAAAACTTGAAAGCTTAGTATAACATACTTCAGAATACGTGGCATTTATTCAAATTATAACATCAGAGCATATTTTTCATTAGTTCCCTCATCATTATTCTGTGAAGTATAAAATCTATTATTAAAATATAATATTTTTAATTTTGTTTAGGTATAATTTTTTGAAAAAACTTGGAAGATTTAATATTGCATATTTCAGAATATTTTGAATCTATAAACATAGATCATCTATATGAGTTTTTTCATTAGTTACTGTGATATTGACTCACGAATTATGTCCAGGTCATTTTTTATCTACGCATTTGTATTTTAGTTATAACTTGGAATTTTAGTATAACATACTTCAAACAATTTTAAAACTACAAACTTAAAATATAAAAGCATAATTTTTCATTAATCTTTGCACTATCAATAAAGTTGCAGTGATATACTTTTTTTATGCAAATTATTGGTTTTTTGAAATATCATATGCGAGTAAAAAGAATCAAAAATCTAGTATATTTCAGAATATGTTGAATCTATGCTTAGAACACTAATACGAGTTTTTTCATTAGTTTTCCCACTATTATTTCGCGAAAAAAGTGTCCGGTGACTTTATTTCACCGAGTGTACATGTAATAGTTAATGCAATATTCTGTAACCAAGCGAAAATTGGTATGGTTTCGAAACAACATAAGATTGAATAGACTGTAAGAAACGCGGGGTACTGTTACCGAAGTAGCATTAAATTCTTCGATTCCGTAATTTTGATTCTCAATTTCTACATGAAAATCTTTCCATA